CTAAACTACTAGAATCTTGAAGAAATAAAACCTGTGTGATTGGTTTTATGATAGTCTTACTATACAGCCCATGCTGGCCTTGAACTTCTCACCTCCTAGCTTAGGCTTCCACGAGCTAGGATTAAAGGCATGCAATTCCATGGTAAACTCAAACTAACTTCTTTTGTTTTCAGCCACTGTGTTTATACTAGTTTACTACAAAAGCTTCACAAAACAAACACACTAAATGTGTATCTTAGTGAAGAGACACCATGATCACAGTAACTTTTTTTTTGGAGGGGGGCTTCTTTGAAACAGGTTTCTCTGTAGCTTTGGAGCCCATCCTGGAACTCTGTAGACCAGGCTAGCATTGAACTCACAGAGATCTGCCTGTCTCTGCCTCTCGAGTGTTGAGATTAAAGGTGTGTGCCACTGCTGACCACAGCAACTCTTATTAAGGAAACATTTAATTGAGTGCTTACAGTTTCAGAGGTTTAGTCCATTATCTTCACGGCAGGACATAGCAGCATGCAGGCAGACGCATCATGCTAGAGAAGGAGCTGAGAGTCTACATCCTGATTTGCAGGCAACGGGAAAGGGTCTGTGTCATGCTGGCTAAACTTCAGCTTATAAGACCTCAGAGCCCACCCCCACAGTGACATGCTTCCTCCAACAAGGTCACACCTCCTAATGGTGCCTCACCCTACAGACCAAGCATTCAGACACACGAGACTCTGTGGCGGCCGTACCTACTCAAACAACCACAATATGTAATCTTGTTTGATAGCTTCCTATATAACCCACAAATGTAATTGCATTATCCATCAAGATGTTTATGATTTGAATATACTCAAATTTAAATCATCAGAAGGCTTTCTGTCCATTGTGCAAAGTAAATAGAGCTTGGATTCTATCCCCTTGACTAGGCATGAGCAGGCCACACCTAGGAGTGGGCAATCTCTCTGAATTATGTGGAAATAATGAATTTTTTCCCGTCAAAGCACACATTCTGAGGCGACAGAGATGGCTCGGTAGTTAAAAGCCTGACTGTTGTTTCAGGGGACCCCAGTTCAACCCCCAGCACATGTGGCAGCTCACCGCCATCCTTATCTAGGAGATAGGATCCCTCTTCAGACATGCAAGCGGTGCCCAGACATGCATGCAGGCAAAACATGCATTGTCTTAGCTAGGGTTCCTTCCTCTCTCTGTAGTGAAGCACCATGACAATCGCCACTTGGGAGGAAAGGGTTGATTCTGCTTACACTTCCATGTCACAGGAAGTCAGGACAGGACTTGAGCAGGACCGTAGCCTGGAGGCAGAAAGCCCAGAGGAGTGCTTCTTACTGGCCAGCTTCCCATGGTTTGCTCAGCCTACTTTCTTATAGAACCCAGAACGGCTAGTCCAGGGATGACACCCCCCAAAATAGACTGGGCCCTTCCCCTTCAATCACTAATTAAGAAAATGCCTACGGGCTGGCCTACAACCTGATACATTTTCTTTATTGAAGTTCCCTCTTTCCAAGTGATTCTGACTTGTGTCAAGTCAACATAAAACTGTCTAGCACACACATAGACATAAAAACAAAATACCATGGTCTAGAGGTCAAAGCTTATACACAGCAGCCAGGCAGAGCTAGATTTCCTTGTAGTGGGTTCACAGAAGATACCCAGGTGTACTGGGAACTCGGGAGATGGGAAGGGAATCTTCTCTCACGTTGGAATTCCCAGCCTGCCCCATCTGTTAAGTCTTACAGGAGCCAGGCCAAAAGGTATAAAATCTTGTGACTTTTTACAAGAGAGACTAGAAGTTTGGATTTTTTTATATGTAATTGTCCTTTTATTTATTTTTTTTTATTGTGAGCATCCATTTAAAGTTTTAAGACCAAATAAAACACAGAAGCTCTGGCCTCTAAGTTTGTCCTTGTGAGTTAGACCTTTACAAATAAAGGCCGTTTCATTCCGCTTGGAGGTGAAGAGACATAATCTCGGCTTCAGAACACAGTGCCTGGAAAAGATATGGGAGAATTCTGGTCAATCCTTGCCGATGAGCCTTGAACTTAAGCTACAGCTGCTTTTGTTATCAAGTTGTCCTGCTGCAGGGAATAGCTTTGTAAAATCATCCCGCTAAGCACACAGTGGACAGGCTGGGCGAACGGAGGCCGCCATTATAGAAAACTAGCCCGCTAAGCCATGTGCCAGGCTCAGCGAACACAGGCTGCCGCCATAGTCTTGACAGATCTGACTTTTCTCATTGGGTTACTTCTACAGTGTGTACAGATGCCATCAAACTGAGGAACGAAAGGGTCAGGGAGAGGATACAGGGCAGAGAGGCATGGAGGAATATGGTACAAGACGCTTAAAGCTTATTACATACTTGCGTGGAATTGGCCTTATATAAATCCGCGTAATTTTTAAAACTTGAGAAAGAGCTCTCCCTTTTTGGATGGCCACAGTATCTAATGTTCATTGGCCAGGCTTCTAGGGTCTGTTCAAAAGGGAAGGATCTTAGTCTCTGCATTCCCTTTGGGGCTGCCTATAACCGTAGAAGCTTCGGTGGTGTTACCAGAGGCAAGTACTTTAGGTATTGAATCTGGTCTCCCCATTCAATTGATCTGATGACCATTAAATGTCCATTTGTGACAGAACAAGAGAGTGCAGAGGTTCCTCCATCTTGGACGCTTGCTAAGGTCATTTTAGGTTGAACTAGAATTTGATCTCCTTGATGGGAAGCTTTGTGGGAAATTTCCCGTCTATTCCAGGAACCCGAGGTAAAGATGCCCCAGCTAACTTATCTTCTATGAAGCTGCCTGCTTGTGCAAACCTCCCCCGCTACTGTTGAGTGAGATACTAAGATGTGGATTTTAAAGGATTTTTTAAAATCCCCTTACTCTAAATGTTCAATGCCACACTTGGGTCAGGGATTGTGATGCCTCCAGAAGTTGCTTTATTTTATAGGATTGTTTTGGCTATCCTGGCTTTTTTGTTTTGTTTTGTTGTGTTTTGTTTTTTTGCTTTTCCATATGAAGCTGATATTGTTCTTTCAATGTTTGTGAAGAATTTTGCTGGGATTTTGATGGGCATTGCAGTGAATCTGTAGATTGCTTTTGGTAAGATTCCCATTTTTACTGTTAATTCTACTTACCCAAGAGCCTGGGAGATCTTTCCATTTCCCGGTGACTTCTTCAATTTCTTTCTTGAAAGATTTAAAGTTCTTGTCAGACAGGTCTTCCACTTGTTTGCTTAGAGTTACTCCAAGATATTTTATGTTATTTTGTGGCTATTGTGAAAGGTGATGTTTCTTTATTTCTTTCTCAGCCCATTTATCATCAGTATAAAGGTGGGCTACTGATTTTTTCGAATAATCTTGTATCCTCCTAAATTACTGAAGGTGTTTATGAGTTGTAGAAGTTCCTTGGTAGAATTTTTGGGGTCGCTTATGTAAACTATCATATCATCAGCAAACAGTGAAAATTTGACTTCTTCTTCTCCAACTTGTAGCCCTTTGATCTCCTTTTGTTGTCTTATTGCTCTAGCTAGGACCTCAAGAACTATATTGAATAGATATGGAGAGAGTGGACAACCTTGTCTTGTTCCTGATTTCAATGGGATCACTTTGAGTTTCTCTCCATTTAGTTTGATGTTGGCTGTTGGCTTGCTGTATACTGCCTTTATTATATTTAGATATGTTCCTTGTATCCCTGCTCTCTTTTTTGGGGGGATTTTTCGAGACAGGGTTTCTCCGTAGCTTTTTGATTCCTGTCCTGGAACTAGCTCTTGTAGACCAGGCTGGCCTCGAACTCACAGAGATCCGCCTGCCTCTGCCTCCCGAGTGCTGGGATTAAAGGCGTGCGCCACCGCCGCCTGGCTATCCCTGCTCTCTTTATCATGAAGGGATATTATATTTTTTTGAAGGCTTTATTTACATTTAATGAGAGGATGATGTGGGTTTTTTTTTTCAGTTTGTTTAGATGGTGGATTACATTGACAGATTTTCATATGTTGAACCATCCCTGCATCTCTGGGATGAAGCTGACTTGATCATGGTGGATGATTTTTTTTGATGTGTTCTTGGATTCAATTTGCCAGTATTTTGTTGGGTATTTTTGTATCAATGTTCATGAGTGAGATTGGTCTGTAATTCTCTTTCTTAGTAATGTCTTTGTGTGGTTTGGGTATCAGGGTAATTGTAGCCTTATAGAAAGAGTTTGGCAATGTTCCTTCTGTTCCTATTGTGTGGAAAAATTTGAGAAGTATTGGTATTAGTTCTTCTTTGAAAATCTTGTAGAACTCTGAGTTGAGACCATCTGGTTGGGAGACTTTTGATGACTGTTTCTATTTCTTTAGCAGTTATAGGTCTATTTAATTTGCTTATCTGGTCTTGATTTAATTTTGGTAAGTGATATTTATCCAGAAAATTGTCCATTTCCTTTAAGTTTTCCAATTTGTCAAGTACAGGATTTTGAAATATGATCTAATGATTCTCTGGACTTCCTCCGTGTCTGTTGTTCTGTCCCCCTTTCCGTTTCTGATTTTGTTAATTAGGATATTCTCTCTCTGCCTTTTTGTTAGTTTGGATAAAGGTTTGCCTATTTTGTTGATTTTCTCAAAGAACCAACTCGTTGTCTCATTGATTCTTTGTGTTGTTTTCTTTGTATTTTGTTGATTTCAGCTCTCAATTTTATTATTTCCTGCATACACCCTACACAGAGGGGAATCCCACATCATTTGTTGGTGTTATGGGGTTTTTTTTTGTTGTTGTTGTTGTTTTTGTGGTGCTGAGTGTGTTCTTACCTTGTCTACCATCTTTTCCTCTGATTGGTGTAGTTAGAGCTGTGTCTCTGGTGATCAATCTTCCAGGTGCCAGCAGATCCAAGACTCAGATGTTTTCTCTTCATGGTGCAGTCAGGGCCACGGTTCCTGTCACCCCAGAGGTCACTTGGTGTTTATGGAGGTCGCTCAGCACTCCCGAGGTTTGCTCTGCTACCCAGAAGCACAACATGGTAAGATCTAGTGGTCCACTCAGCTTCCTTGAGCCTTTAAGTCCTGCTGCTGTTTGCATGGCTTACACAGCTTTCAGGAACCTAGAGTAAGGGAAAGGCATTTAATTAATCTAAGAAACAAAAGCGGGACCATGACCCAGGATCTCTTTGATGCTTTAAAATGTGTCAAAGACTAAGAAGATTCTAGAAACTCATCTCATTGTCATCATTTTCTTCCAAAAGAGAGATTAGTCCCTTAAGGACTCTTCAAGAAGACAATGGCCTTCAAGCCCAGACTTTGAAGTCTACAGAGGAGTGAGAAATCACTATCTCCAGCTGCTGCAGGCTGGTAAGCCAGAGAGTGGACAGGACTGCGAACGGCAAGCCAATGGCACCGGCAGAGAAACGGGCATTGTGTTGGGAAGAGTGACAGGGGCTCTTCCATCTCACTGGAACTCCACCAACTTCTTCCCCTGGGCTGGGAGGTCAGGAGGTGTCCTTACCTCTCTGCAGGGCTCAACAAAGTGCTTTCCTTAGTCATCTCTAGACTGTGACCGGGTTTCCACCTCAGATTCTTCACGAATGACCAACAGCACCCCTGTCGGGGACTATTCAGACCCGAAGAGGAAAATGTGTTTTCTTTGGAAAGCAAGCAATATGCTCTTACATTTGCATTTCAAAATTGAGAAATGTCCTTGAGCAAACTGCCAACTCCTTGCAGAAAAGATAAAGGCGCTTTTTATTCTGCTCAGAACAAAATGATCCTGGCTGTTCTAACGGAATGCCAACCTTGTACCATTATCTAAGAATTTGTTACACATTTTGTAAATCCTTCTAGCTGGAATGACTCTGATTAGATAGGTAACTGTGATTTCGAGTTATGGCATTTACCCAGGAAGGGTTTTGAAACATGTGCTCTTGTATATGCTAAGTAGAAATCTAAAGGAACCCACTCTCTTAAGGTCCATGTAGGCTGTGAGCAGCTGTGCGATCTGTAGTCCAGTACAGAGTGCATCCCGATTTCAAAACAAGTCCAGTTCTGTCGGCTGTGGCTCTGGCGTATACAAGTGAGCTGACCTCATCATCATCCTGTCTCTGCTCAAGCTCAGGAGACCACACTGTCCAATGTTCAAACCCCAGAAGTTAAGATGTGACAACAACCCCTTTCTCTGTTTTCTTTCAGGTTTCCATAACGTTTTAAATATATTTTATGCCTAAAATGTCTTTTGACCCTATTAACTCCCCACTACTACTCCTAACGCCTTCCAATAAACTCCCTACTCCCAATCTTGTGCCCCCCCTTTAAAAAATAACCCACTGAGTCCACTTTATGCTGCCCATGTACCAGTGAGTGTGGAGCCATCTACAGGAGCCAACCTGCTGGGGGCTAAACCCTCAAGAAAACTCACCCTCCCTTCTCTAACAGCCATCAGCTGTTCATAGTTCCTCCGTTAGCCATGAAGCTCACTTTTTAAAATTTAATAGTGAAATTATGTTAATAAACAACCATTCCAGATTTTTTGAAAGAAAAGAAAGCACACTGGAATCATTACAGGTCATTTTATTTTTTTTTATTTTTTTTTTTAAATTTTTTTTTTTTTAATATTTCTTTATTTATTATGTATACAATATTCTGTTTGTGTGTATGCCTCCAGGCCAGAAGAGGGCAGCAGACCCCATTACAGATGGTTGTGAGCCACCATGTGGTTGCTGGGAATTGAACTCAGGACCTTTTGTTTTCCATGTTCAAAACTGACAATGGAAGCAAATGTAAGGTTTGAAGAAACTCAAGAGAGCTGTTTCATTCTCTAATTTTACAGGTGGAGAAAGCGGGCCGCAGACTATGGTTAACCCACATACTCAACGTGGTACTTCAGGGACTTCCTCTCCACAGATGGGCATTACAGTCTGGCCCCCTAACGTCAGCTGTGCTAACTGTCACAGGCTCTGTTGAATCTGTAAAAGATGAACTTAAGGGTCGATTTTGAAGTGTTGTTTCTATATATTAGCTAGGCATAACACAATGTGTTTCATGTTGACATTTTCATACATGTATTAATATATTTCATCATAGTCACACCCCTCAAACTAATTACATTTCTGAATCTAGCCTCAAACTCCTGAGATTGTTGCTTCCATCTCCTCAGTCCTGGGATGATAAGCATGCACTTATTATTATTATTGATCCCTGTACTTCCTTCTCATGCACACAAAAGCATAAAGACACTAACTAGAGTGGCCAGAGCACAGCATTCCAGCAGGGTGGTGCTAACCACCAGTCTACCGTGTTCCACATCAAAACTACCTGGGGTAGCGACAGCCAGGGCTCTAAGATAGCACTACCCTAGGCTTTATGCCATATGTACACAGATAAACAGACATAATTTCTGACATATTTTATGGCGTGGATGGGCATTCTAAAATAAGAGTCCCATCAAAAGCCAACATATCTAAGTTTAAACACTAGAGCAGTGGGTTGTATTTTCTTAGAACAGAAATTAAAAACTTAAACTCTCCTTCCTTTGACACTTGAAAATGTGCATATTTCCTTTTATGTTTTATTGTTTACTTTGTGTCTATTCTTACTGTGAAATCACTAAGTAATTACCTGAACCAAGACCAGACCTGCTGCCTTACCATACACATGTGCTCCGATGCAGGTCATGGATCAAGTTGAAAGATAAGCAAAGGTGGCTGCAAGCAAGACTCTACCAGTGACCAGTAATGCTGAAGGCAAGTTTTCCCTCTCTTGTGAAGAATAAAAGTGTCTGGGAAAGCGGATGTTTAATATGCATGAGATCATAGGTTCAATCCCAAACACTCTTGCCTGTTCACACACAAGTACACTCACATATACACACAGATACATACATAATTACACACATACATACACAGATACACACATACACTCACACACACACACACACACACACACATTGGTATCATTCTCAACATTTGCACTGTTTTGCTTTTTCTGTTTAAGTGTTTATCTGTCAGAAATTCAAAGTGTGTACCTATCACTCCCTCAAACTGGAAGCCATTCAAATGGTCCTCCTTAGGGGAAAGGCTTAAACAAGGTTTCCCACAGTAACAAAGACCATGGAATACCACTCCGCTGCCACTACTTAGACAGAAAACAGCACAGGTGGGCCTGGAAGGAATTGTGTCGAGAGGGGAAGATCAAAAACCTTGTCAAATATTTACATATTATATGATTCTATTTGTAAAAGTCTCAAAAGTGACAAAATGACAGCATCGAAGAGTGGATCAGGAGTTCTGGAAGTTGCACGTGACGGGAGGGACAGGCATGACGATGACACAGAAGGACAAAAGAGTTCAGCGTCCTAACTGGTTCCAAGAATCCACACGTTCTCAGACAACACAGAACCTTACCCCTGAAAGCCCTCTGACATCTGACTCTGCTCATGAATTACACCCTCATCAGTCTCCTGAACTGGTGTATACTACCTGCAACAAAGGAAGAATTTACCTTCAGCGGAAATCACCTGAGGCTTCTGGGATATCTCTCTACTTTTGCAACTGCTGATAAATGCATAATGACTTTAAAAAAATTTATTAAAAAAATAGTTGCTGGGTGGTAGGACGCACATCTTTAATTCCAACGCTCAAGAGGCAGAGGCAGGTAGATCTCTGTGAGTTCCAGGACAGCCAGGGTTGTTACACAGAGAAACTCTGTCTCAAAAACAAACAAAGAAAGAAAGAAAAAGTACACACAATTTTTAGGAAAACAATTGATTCAGCACACACTCCTGCCTTTGCTTTTTTCTGAAGACCCTCTTAAAGGATCAAAGGAATAAAAAAAGGTGTGGATTTAAAAGAGCGCGATCATACCAGTATGTGATCACAGAAGCCAAGTAACTAGAGGGGATGGAGGGGTGAAGGGGGTGGGGGATCGGAGGGTGGAGCTTAATGACAGGACATTGATCTTTACATTGGAGAAAGAAACTGTATGACAAATGAATACAAGATACTGTTTATAGCTGTTTCTCTGGTTCAGAGCCAGGAACAGTCTGCAGAGATGACTCCCTCTGCACAAGGGCACCAAGAAGCTTAGATCCACTTGGACAAACCACCACAAGGCCACACAGCTGGAGAAGGAATGACCCAAGCTGTCACTGGCCCTCTGCCTTTGAGGCAGGTGCTTGGCGGTCTGACTAGGTGCCAGGCATTTGGAGAATCATGGGAAACTTTTAAGAGGGCAGAGCTGAGGAAGAATTAGAGGGGTGGTTGACGATGGCCTCAGGAGCACTTGAGGGCTGAGCGGCGGCACAAAACCTTGTAGAAACCTCAGTGTCTCAGGGTTCCAGGTTTGCTCTGTGGACTGACAGGAGAATTAACTAGATTTCTAGGGTCCCAGTGAGGCTGCAGACCTCTAGTCAAACCAGCACTCCTCACACTTTGTAGAGCAACAGAGTCTTCCCGCCAAAGAAGATCAGAAGAATAAACCATCCAAATTGAGCAAAGAACAGAGAGAGCAGATCTACAGTCCTACAAACTGGGCCCCTATATCTCCCTATCTCTCTGGCTCAGTCAGGTGTCCTGCAAAAAAAAGGAAGGAAGGAACAAAGGAAGGAAGGAACAAAGGGAGGAAGGGAGGAACGAAGGAAGGAAGGAAGGAAGGAAGGGAGGGAGGGAGGGAGGAAGAAACAAAGGAACAAAGGAAGGAAGGGAGAAAGGGAAAACTTGCACTGAGAAGCTAGGTACAAACCCCAATATTTGTCTGTGGTGTGTATCAACTAGAAAGTTTCCCATCTCTGTTGAGTTAGGAAAGCAGTGATGGTTTTCTGTTGGGTCCTGCTAGGCAGTCCCCCAGCCTCTGTTATTATTTAGCCGGGCCGGGCGGTGGTGGCGCACGCCTTTAATCCCAGCACTCGGGAGGCAGAGGCAGGCGGATTTCTGTGAGTTCGAGACCAGCCTGGTCTACAAGAGCTAGTTCCAGGACAGGCTCCAAAACCACAGAGAAACCCTGTCTCGAAAAACCAAAAAAAAAAAAAAAGACTCATATTATTTAGCCGGTTAAACCTTTGATACCAGCAGACTTAAACATATTAACTAATTCAGAGTTTACTTTCCAAAGACAA